CCTTCCTTCCTTCCTTCCTTCCTTCCTTCCTTCCTTCCTTCCTTCCTTCCTTCTTTATTTCATTATCATATATCTGGTGTGAGTACTTGACACCTGAGTTTTTCCCAATATGCTAATGTAATTAGAGACAAGTTCTTTATTTACTTTCTTCAAAACAGTGATCATAATTGGCAGGTTTTTTTTTGTCATTGTCTTAAATACATTTGTATATAGTTTTTAATTTTTAGTTACATGTTGTATGAGGTATCTTTGGCGTCTGTCATTTGTTTTCTGAGTGCCAGAACCCAGGCATATAACTATTTAGATGGAGCCCACACCACAGGCACTCCGTCCGCAGCACTGTCTCCCAGCCGGCTTACAGACAGTTTATTGTGGTTGGACCTTTCCTGGATAGAAAGCATTTGCTCTGTACCATTGTGTGCATTGTATGCTTTAAAACTTACTTCCTTCGAAACAGGGTATGTTGTTTGAAAAACTCAGCTTGGGATAGTAGTGGTGGGGTTGGTCTTGTGCACTGTGTGTTCAGAGGCTGAGTTCTGGGCCCCAGGATCAGGCTGCAGTCTGGATGTGGGCATTGTATCGACCAATGCGCTGTAAAGAATGTTCCCTAATAATCTCTTATTGGACAGTAAAAGACTGAAGCCTGTGACTGACCAGGAGAGAGAGGAAGATGGGTCCTGAGACGCAGTAGGGGGTCTCAGGAACCACGAGAAGGGGAATGGAGGTAGAAGGAGGAGATCCCCATGAGGCAGGATAGGCCATGAGCACGTGGCCAAGTGAAAATAGCCCTGAGGACACACATACAGCAAAACAAACTCAGCTGGCAAGTAACATGGGGCTGTGATGTGGTTAGAACAGCTCAGTACCTGCTCTATTTAGGATTACAGCTGATTAATAAAAATACCAGGTTTCAGTGTCTTTTATTCTAGAATGGGGCATACCCCCCCCCATAAAATTACATTTATATAGTGGTTTTGTTAACACTGGCAGGGCAAGAGTCGGTCCTTACACTACCAAGAGGAACCTTCTGAGTCACTCTAGTCCTTCACTCACTAAAAACTCACTGTCAGTTGCTCTTCATCCTCAAGAATGTCATACACATTCTGGCCTGGCCCATGCAGTGAAACACAATCATATAGATCCAGCCCTTCCCTATCCTCCCCAGCACGGCCCTCCATACTTGGTGTCTTTGTCTTCTTTCCTTCTCATAACCCACTAAGTCTGGCTTGTGTTGTCAAACTGTAGATGCTTCTGCTTGTCAGATACAGGAGGACTGTTGGCTCACTGTGGTGTGATCTGAGAGGAGGGACGTGAGCTTGCCTTTGCCTGAGCTCTGTGACTGCAGCCTTTGCTGTTTTTCCTGTTGTTATCCTTCCCCTGTAACTTACATTCCTATGTCACGAATGGGAAGGCGGCTTGATTTACCAGCTTTCTGGGCTGACTACCCAAGGCTGACCCATAATCCTCCTGCCTCTGCTTTCTGAGTGCTGGGACAACAGGCAAGCACCGGCACACCTGGCTCTCGACATAACATCTGTGGATTGTCAGTAAATACTTGGATAAAATTAAATGCTAAAAGCTAATATGTACCTGGGAATGGTGGCCATTTTGTCTTTAGTTCCAGAATTCAAGAGGCTGAGGCAAAAGGATTTCCAGTAATTTGAGCTCAGCCCAGAACACAAAGAGCAGCAGCCAAGACAACCAATGCTAGTTTGTGTCTGTGCTGAGATGTAGATTTTTGTCATCGAAGTGTTTTCTGTCACTGTCTGGATCCTGGCTGTTTGCCTCTGCAGGTGATTTACCTGCATGATCCCAGCCACGTGAGGTTTCTTTTCTCATGTTTTATTTTGTGCAATTTCAAGGATGTACAGGGGTAGAGAATGGTGGAGTGAATTTCCAACTATCTATAGCTGTCTTTAGGGACAATCAACATGTGCTGTTTTAAACTTTATCTCTCTCCTCATTGAAAAAAGAAATTTCTTATCTGGAGATCAGTTCACACATGCAGAAACCTCCAAGAGTAAAACAGCACAAAGCCCACTTCTTTCCATCCCCCACTCTTGTTTTGTTTGCCATTGTACTCTCTGTCTTATACTCGATACCACGCTTCCTCTTTAAGCTACTTGAAGGTCCGTTACCTGCAGCACACCCTTACTCCTTCAGGAGCATCTCATGTAACCAGACTGTAGTTGTGGTGAGTGAGGAGGGGGTTGTGGTCAGCTCGTCACAAGTGAAGAAATGAAAGAAGTCTCTTTTATGAAGTGTGGTTTCATTTAAGTGTTGTACTTAAGTTTCGTTTTATTTTGTTTTATTTTATTGATGATCTTAGGCTAGCCCTACTGTGCCAGCACTCACTGTTTAATCCACCATGAGTTCACAGTGTTCTGTCTGCCCTAGCCTCTCAAGTGTTGGTGACAGGAGTGAGCTACCGCCCTGATTCACAGTTAGGTTTTCTTATAATTGTTTTGCCCTCAGTGTCTCTCTTCCGACTTAGTCTTAGGATGTAGTGCTTGCTTGTCTTCTTTCTAGAACAGCCAGCCATTCTCCTGTTCCTCAGGTGCCAGGGTGGAGTAAGCTCTGAGGAGGAGAAACACTGTAGGAATTGCTCATACTGCAAAGAGACAACTAGAGCTTTTGTTTGTTTCTGTTATTGAGAGTAATGACAAGTCACATATAATTGTTTTTAAAAAGCTTTTTCAGATATATCAAGTGATTTCTTTCACTCAAAATTGGTTAGAATGAATCAAAAATTAATATAGTACTTTATTTTGTTATAATACATGCAGATAAATATATATTCATAGTTTTATAGTACAAGAAATCATTTATAGCACTATGATGTCAGTATAGACAAAGACTCAATTGATGTATCACTGTTTTGGAATGAGTGCTTCCATTTTTTTTTAAATTAATATATTATATTAATTTGTAGCTGATTTAGCTTTTAAGCTAATCACAAAATTCTAGACTCACCTGACATACTTTTAAAAATCTATTCATCTGTCTGCTTGTTGGCACTGCAATTAGATCTTGGCATTCCTAATCCAGAGGTAAGGAGTGGGGTCTGGTGCTAACACGACATTTAGAATGTTCCTCATTCGGTTTCAGTATCACTGATGGGTGCAATTCCCAAATCCATCCTCAGAGTCCCTTATGCCTGTTGTAGGGGCTCAGCCAGTAATAGTACTAGTAATTACTGAGAAAGTACATTGTTTAGAGGTAGCATTAGTGGGCTTAGCTGGACTCATTCTGATGTGTTTTCTTGGTAATGAGGCCTTGTTTATCAGTATCAACTTTTTTTTTAATATTTATTTGCGTGTATGTGTGTCTGCCTGTCTGCCTGCCTGCCTGCCTATATGTTTGTGTGTCTTTGTGTGTATGCATGCAGAAGCAAGAGGAAGTGTTGGATTTCCTGGAGCTAGATTTAATAGGTTTTGTGAGCCACCAGATGTGGGTGCTGGGAACCAAACTCAGGTTCTCAAGAAGAGCAGCAGGTGTCGCTAACTGTTGAGCTGTTTCTCCAGCTCCTCCCTGACGGCTAAATTTCATTGACTGATTTCTAACACTGATAAATAGGAGGCCTTTTGTTCTGGGTTTGTAAGGAACGAAAGAGATAAAGTGTATAAAATCTCATCCAAAACCATATAACATCTGTCCTCATGCAGATGACTTGTCAGTCTTGATGCTCCGAGGGTCATTAGTGGTGAAAACAACTAGAAGATTATAAAATAGAATTAGAATGGAAGTTTAATTAGAAACGAGTGATAGGAGAACCCTAGGGACATTTCTGTTATGACAGTGTTAAAACTCAGAACGTCTATGCTTCTGGTCTGCTTAAACTTTAAATCATGTAAAAAAAAAAAGTTTTAAAAGACTGATTAATGAATATGTCTGCCACATTCTTGCTTTGTGTCCAGCTGGCTTTTTATTTTATGTGGTGCAAAATTTTGTCAGTGACAGAAAGGAAAATTTGATTATTAAATAGGTATTTCCACAAGAAATTTGTTCCTTCCTAAATGAACT